GGATTATCTTCTTGAAAAAAAGTACAAATTTTTATGCTTTAAATTTATTATATGTAGAAATTAAAGATAAGTTATACATATAAATGATAACGCACAAACAAATAAAATTTCCGTAATTTTTAAATAGTGATTTACCTCAATTTTTACCAAATTCTATTCAAATGGAACATAAGACTATTTGAATTTATCTTTTATCCTTTCATTTATATACATAAGTATATTATTAGATGTGAGAAAATTGTTATATTTCAAAACTAAATTTTAAAATCAATTTAATTATATTAAATTTATATCATAATTAAATATATGTTTTCATAATTTGTAGTCCAAATTTGTAAAATATGACTAAAAAGTCAAAAGGGGAAAATTCGAAAATTATATATATCCAAAATATAGTTGATCCGAAACCGAAATATATCCGAACCGAACTAGACCCGAAACCGAAATATATCCAACTCAAATTGTATCCGAACCAAAATCTATCCGAACCGATTTATAACCGAACCGTATCTGAACCGACTCGAAACCGAACCGAACCGAAAAATGTATAGAACCGAAATCAAATCCGAACCAAAATTTAACCGATCCGAACCGAACCGAACCGATTATAACATATAACCGAAAGATATCCGAACCGAAAAAATCCAACCCGAAACCGATCCGGTTGATCCGATTGCCACCTCTATACTTCACTAAAGCCGTATAGCCTAAAATATCATTGAAACGCCTTAAGAGCATTTACAAATTACAATGGAGAAACAGCAAAGTGGATAAAAATATTGAAAATATACCAAAATAGGATTTTGTGTTTTTATTTCTGAGATAGGACTTAAAATGTGTTTACATTACCAAACATGGTCATGTACATTTACTTAAAAGGATAGTAATGTGTACATGTAGAATGTCACATTATCACATTCTGAAGTCTTATTTCTGGAAAAAAAATATGAAAATTATATTTTATTACTTTTCTCTATGTTTTAGTCCTATTTAGAGTAATTTCTAAAATTATAATGGAGAGTAAACTTGCTCAGTTCCAATTGTCACATCAGCATTTCATTAATTTTCTGTCCCATCCCGAAATTCTATGATGTTATTGCCATGAAAATTCGTCTCCATTTTTTTTTAAATATTATTCATCATTTATAATTCTACATTTATACTACATATAAATTTAATATAACTTTTTATTTTAAAAAAAGATGAATAATTTTAAAAAACTAAGTATTGTAACAATTAAGGTCGATAAAATTTCCACCCCTGCTCGTCGAGTATGAACCAGTCTCAGAGAATTTGGATCGCCTCCGTCCCGATCCTCAGGCGGCCTCATTATGCCTCAACCCCGATGTTGAATTTGTTGGGGCTCCTTTACAGAATTTTCCAGATTTTCTTAAACTTGAAAATCCTCTTCTCCGACTCATAATAAAGGTCCAAACGCCTTTGACAAAATGTGTTTGGCGGAGCACCCACTGGGCCACGTCTCAAGGCCGTTGGCATATAAGCCACATTACCTTTGGACTTCTTGGTGCATAGTGCTTCTGAAACATTTCCATGTCACGTACAGACATACCATCAAACCTCTCGGCGTTGTACCTTGTGGTAACAGGCTCCCAAAACATTTTTTATTTATGGTAGTTGCTGACGATGGCGTCCTCCGACACATCGATGTAGCACTTCGCCAATCTAAGGGGCTGTTTGTTTCAGCCTCTTAATGGTTCAGATGTCTGAATGGTTCAGCACTTAATGGTTCAGACTGTTTGTTTCAGCCTCTTAATGGTTCAGATGTCTGAATGGTTAAGAGATTTGCCTCTGAATGGTTAAGTATTATACAGAGTCTGAATGGTTAAGACCTCTTATCTGAATTGATCAGACATTTGCCTCTGAATAGTTAAGCAATATACTAGCTCTTAATGGTTCAGACCTCTTACTGGTTCAGCACTTAATGGTTCAGACCTCTTACTGGTTCAGCACTTACCCATTCAGAAGTTGCCAAACAGCCCCTAAGACTTTTCGCCGAGTATGCTTTTTCGTCCTGTCCATCTTTTTGGCCTTCTCTTTGCTAACGCCCTCGCTGATGGGCTCCAACCCAGAAACATCGTAGTTGGTCATATTAAAGGCCGATAATGGGTAGGGAACCCGAGAACGGGGTAAACTTGACGGCGGGTAAAGAACTAGAGTCTACAATTTGAATAACGGCATCAAATTCGAAATCATCAAAGTTGAAGTTCTTGTCCTTAAAGTTCATTTTGAATAATTGAAAAACAGAGAAAAAATTATTCGAGTGAGATGAGAGTGATGAATTGAAGATGAAGATGTGTGGAATTTATTGAGCTGCTGCGATTTTTCACCGAAGACTCAGCCCGTTTTGTGCCAGATATGGGGCGCGCTCCGCGGTAGAAATCACGGCCGATTTGACAGAAAATTACTCTGGGGTATCCTCGGTTTTCTGGTAATGACTCTCTGGTCCCACACTATCTGAAATATACTCCGAGGTACCCTCAATTTTTTAGTAAGAATTCTCAAGTTTCACATTGTGCGAAATATAATTTGAAATCCTTAAAATATGTGATATTATACTTCAAGGGTATATTCCATCCATTTAGGCATTATGGTTGAAAGTTTTTTAAGTTTGAGAAACTGAAGAATTTTATTTAAATTTAATAAAATAATGGTTATGAAGCTAAAATTTAATATTGTCAAAGTATCAAAATATTTAATCTTAACGTTCAAATAGACTGAATATACCCAAAGATTATATTACCACTAAATTTAAGGACCCCTATAGTACATTTAAGGGTACTCAGAAGTATATATATTTCATATAATGTGAGACCTGAGAGCGAATCATTACCACAAAATCGAGGATATCCTGAAGTAATTTTCGGCTGATTTGACACGGATATTGAGAAAAGTGATATTGTATCATTCAAAGTAATCGAGTTGAAAGAAATTATTACAGCCACAAAATTATTCTCAAAAGTAGAAAGTACTACCTCTGCCCCAGTGTATTTATCCAGTTTGACTTTTTCGGGTTAAACTGGACAAACTTTGAGCTCCAATTACTCTCAATTTATATTGCATATTAGCATAATGAAATTCAATAAAAATTCATTTTTATGTTAAAATACATTACGGTTTTTATTTAATTGAAGCTCAAAGCTTGTCTAGTTTGATCCAAAAAAGTCAAACTGGACAAATACATTGGGAGGGAGGAAGTATATTTTTTTGGAAAAAAATAAAAAAGAAACCGTAAATTTTATCAAGGGAGGAGTATGACAAACAGGGCTCAACTGCCCATAAAAATCATGTCCCACAATAACAACCCACGATGGCTCCAACACCTTTCGAGGTGTCATCACACCATTCTCATCATCCTCCCCCTCAACTCAACCACACATAACTCTTTCTCATTTCATTCCCAATCAGAAGTGTGGATCTCATTTCATCCCCATTAATTTTTTTAAATTTTGTTTTCAAATGTTACTTCTATAATGTTTTATATAATTTTTTAAGTAAATCAAAATGAAATTTGAAATTAAAAATTATGAAAATTGAAAATCAAAACTAGAAAATAAAAAGAATTAAAATTGAAAGTTTGATTTAAAAAGGAGGTCAGATCTAATTGAAATATTGAAGAACAAAAGTTGATAATAGAAACTAAAAATAAAAAAAATTTAAACTAAACAAGTTAATGAAAATAGAGAAAAGAATCGGATAAAGAAGATCCAGAGGCAAAATTGAAAAAAGAAGAATAAACAGACGGAAGAAGAATAAGAAGGTTGTTAGAGATAGAAGAAGGAAGCATGATTGAAAAAGGATAATGTTAGAGAAAGAAGAAGAAGCAGGATTGAAGAAGGGTAGTGTTAGAGACAGAAGAATGAAGCGGGAGTGAAGAAGGAATAGAAATTTCCTTGTTTACTTTACACTCTTCCTATATAAAGAGGGTTAGATCTTTGTATTCAAAACCAAAATTCAGAAGCCAATTCAATGTACAAATTATTTTCTTCCTTATAATTTTCTACATGGTATCGGAGCCAGTTTTGAATTCTTGAGACCTCAAACACGCTTCTTCCCCTGCCGGTGGGCATACACAATTCAATGCCTACCGGCAGGATATTGTAAATTTTTTTATTTAGTCCTCCCTCATTCTTGAAGAAGTGGTCGAACAAGGGTTGTTCTATGGAGACAAACAACTCTTTCCGCGTCTACTGTTCACGATCGACCGGCATCGCGTCCATCGATCGTCGCCTGTTGTTGCTATCAAAGTGTCGGAACGGTCGACCGTTGCTGAAGAACGGTCGAGTGGGTCGACCGTCCTGACGGCAGTTTCTCTTGATCGCGGTTACTGTTCACGATCGCCCGGCATTGTGTTAGAATAAAAGACCAATGCTAGAGGGAGGGTGAATAGCGTTTGATCGTAGAAATCGCAGGAATAAAAAATTAAGAACGTGAAAAGTAAAGAGCGTAAAGGGAGCACACCAAGATTTATACTGGTTCACCACAACGTGTGGCTAATCCAGTCTCCCGAGAGACTCTCTCGAGCTACACTACTTCTGTTAAGCTTACGGGTGCTTAACAAACCGTTACAACCTGAGAACTCGAGTCCCACGAGCCTCAACAACACTTGCTCGAAGATACCGCACTCCAAGACTTCAACCCGAAGGAAAATACCTTTCCTTCGTACAACCAAGGGAAACAGACTTCCCTTAACGTGTATACAACACTAAGACACTCAAGAACAAGACTCTCCTTGAGAGTGGATATTGAGTAAAATATATACGCTCAAGAACAACTCAAACTTCACACAAATTGGCTCTAGAAAGCTATGGAAAACAATGTTGTTTGGATGCAATGATAATATGAATATTGTGAAGTGAATTGATGAGAAAAGCAGACCCAAACACCCCTTTTTATAGTGCCAAAATAGGCTCCAACGGACCAATGCATTAAAGGGGTGATTTGCTTGATTTATGGGGTTGATTAAATTTGGGATCTGCAGGATATTAGCTTCCCAACGATGTATGGATCTTACCCATTGCTGGTAGGCCAATTTTCCTTCAGTTTTGAAGCCAACGGTCACCTACCCATCGATGGGTAAAAGCTTCCCATCGCTGGGTAGGAGGTTGACTTCCAAACAAGGAAAGAATCAACCTTAAATGACTTACAACGGTCATGACTTCCCATCGATGGTTTAGCCTTCCCATCGCTGGGTTCCCATCGATGGGGTAAAGTCCCCATCACTGGGTAAGGTCGTTCTGCCTTTGTGTTGATGTTGGACCAAGGCTTTAACAGCGATGGGTAGAACCTCCCATCGCTGTTTGGCATGGTTCTGGAAGTTGGTTTGGCTAAGGGACCGCTTACCCATCGATGGGAAGTTCTTCCCATCGCTGGGTGGGTGGTTAGCCAAAAACCTGCGGTTTTTGCCTTAGCCACGGCTTAGCCAACCGATGCAAAAACCGACTGAAAAATCCAAAGTTCTCCAAAATAAAAACCAAGTGTTTAAAACACTTATTTGATGTATTTGGCTAAGAAATCAAGTGAGACACTTTAAAAACCATGTCATTTGAGTAAAAACCACGGCTATCCAAGTTTATGCCGTTTTGCGTGGTTTTTCCTAAACGACAAAAAACGAAAGGTGGTTTTCAAAGTGTTTTTTGAAGAACTGTTTAAACATGCCAAGAAGTAAAAACCAATCATAAAATGTTGAAAACCACTTGGTTGGTTCTGACCCCAAAAACCAACGCCGATAACTGAAAGCCGAACGCCGGTTTCTGAAAGCCAAACGCCGGATGGCTTGGTTTTTGGTTTGGGCGAACACCAAGTGTTTTTGATGACTTAAACATGTTTGAAAAACATTTTTATGATGTAAGAAATGCAATGAAAAGATTTTAGCCTAAAGAGCCAAGGTGTAAAGATTGGGTCGGTCTTGATCACAATAAAGACGGACTCAACGATACTAAGACTATGGTCTTCGTTCTTGGTCTTCGTTTAGCTCTTGTTCTTATCTTCGTTCTTCGCCTTGTATATTCAATTTGTGTCTTGATCACGGCGGTTTGGCATTATCAAAACCTGTCATAAAAACAAACACGGCTTTAGTACGAAAACGTGACAAGCCCGTGTTTCAACACATTGCGTCCATCGATTGTTACTCAGTTTCTGTGGTTTGGAGCAGTTCCCAATTTGTACGTGTAGGAATTACACGTGGGACCTACCGGAGAAGCTTGCGCAGATGCGCGAACAGAAGGAACGTTTTTTTATGTCCAAGCTGTGCATGTTGCACTCCCATGCTCCAGCTTGAGGGGGGGTGTTAGAGATTGAAGAAGGAAGTAGGATTGAAAAAGGATAGTGTTAGAGAAAGAAGGAAGCAGGATTGAAGAAGGATAGTGTTAGAGACAGAAGAAGGAAGCGGGATTGAAGAAGGAAACCGAATCCCTTTGGGATTAGGTTTAGTATCTTTCCTAGTTGGATTAGGTTTAGTATTTAGTATCTTTCCTAGTTTGTTTAATTCTTATTTTAGTAGGAATAGAAATTAACTTGTTTACTTTACCCTCGTCCTATATAAAGAGGGTTAGATCTTTGTATTCAAAACCAGAATTCAGAAGCCAATTCAATATACAAATTATTTTCTTCCTTATAATTTTCTACAAAGGTGAAGAAGAAGATCCAAGAGTCGGAGAAGAAGAAGTAGAGAAGAAGTAGAGGAAGGACTGAAGGAGGAGGAGGAAGAAAAGGAGAAGAAGAAAAAATGAAAAAATAAAAAATAAAAGGGTGTGAGGTTGTGGAGCTCCGCATCTCGATGGTGGCCACGCCGAATCCCAATCTGGGGGGTGTTCCCCGCCGCAATGGCACGCCACGTCGGCTATCCCGACGCCACACCCCACGGTCTAAACAAATTTGGAAGGCATGATATACACAATTTTATTTATGTAAGAAAATCAAGAGGGCATCGTTAAACCATTTACGTATTTGTTAAAGTGCATTCCATATCGGAAGTTCAAGAGTAAAATAGTCGGTATACAAGCTCTTAAGTTGAACTAAATAATCGATTGGATTCAATCTTTAAATGTGGTTCAGCCCAAGTGTCTTATTACCTAATTCAATTACCCATACCCATCATAAATTCTATCATGGTATCAGAGCAGGTTTTAGCCCACCTCGTTTGTCAAGGTGTCCGTCTAGATGTTCATTCCTAGCGGTCCTTTAGTCTTAAGCCCAGTTGTCCGTATGGAGTATGTACCCAACAGCTTGTGGCCTGTTTAACACGACTGCTCGTCTGGAAGTCCATACCCAGCGGTTCGTGGTCATTTAGGTGTTGGCGCTAAAAAAAATCAAGGGAATGAGAGTTCATTTGCAAGTGGTCAACTAGTTAGATTCAAAATGACCTGATTGTCCACTTGAGAGTGAGTCTTAAAGTGCATCCCACATCGGAAGTTCAAGAGTAAAATAGTCGGTATATAAGCTCTTAAGTTGAACTAACTGATCGATTAGATTCAATCTTTTAATGTGGTTCAGCCTAATTGTCTTATTACCCAATCCAATTGTCCATACCCATCCTAAATTCTATCAGTATTCACTACCAAGAAGAACGTGATCGCACAACGGGCGGATCCAAGTTTATCATATTTATCATACGGTAAATTCAATAATGGGTCTTTTATAGTATGATATTTTTCATATTTAGTCTTCTATTATTATATTAAGTCTGTGATCCTTTTATGCTTACACGATGGTGGATTTTACCCCACCAATGATGGATGCACGAAGAATAATAATAGAAAATACTTCCTCCATTCCTTAAACTCCTTCCCTTTTCTTTTTTTCTTGTCCCACTAACTCCTTCCCTTATCTATTAAAAAACCACTTTTATCCCTTATTTTTTCATACCCTACCTATCACATCATACTTTTTTACTAATAATCTATCCATCACATCTTACTTTAATACATCACATCCAAGGCATTTTTAGAAAGTCAACACTAAAATATTCCTCCCTTAATTTCCCAAAAAATCAATAAGGGAAACTCTTTTGGGGACGGAGGGAGTATAAAGTAGATAATTCTTATAATATGATCTCAATATTGCTTGTATTAGTTCAATTGTTGTTTAGGTTTACAGAGGTGGTGGTTTATTATTCGGACATGGCCACCATGGTGAAGGTTAGCAATGAAAAGGCATCCCAAGGCAAACCTCATCAAGGATACATAACTTGGTTTGATGCGAGAGTTTCTAAGCGATCGAGTCAAGATTCGCCACTCTATGGAGGTCCAAAACATCAAACTTATTTTTACACGTACCGAAGAATTTGTAATATCATTGAACCAACATATATTTTAAACGTCGGAGCTCGTATCAACGATTAGTAAATTTTTCGTCTAGTCTTAAGTAGTTCCAATTAATCAAAGTAACAGACGAAACTAAAATTGCCAACATTTTGCAATGCGGGCAACAAAATAAGTATGTAAGGAGTATTTACTAATCTATATAATCTAGCACTTCTATCCATATTTAAAAATCATACACTTCTTCTTTTCTTGCATATTTCATAAAGAAATTAAGGCTTGAGCATTAATTCTTAACTTCTAACATTTTCCAATTTCTTCCAGCTTCTTCCAACTGCTTCAAGTTTTCTCTAACTCCTTCCAATTTCGTCCATACTAGTTTCTTTCAACTCCCTCCTGTTTTTCCAACTCATTCCAGTTTTTCCTAACTCTTTTTAGGTTTTTCAACGTCTTCCAACAATGACTTTAAAAAAATTATTTATGTTTATTTTCATATGTTATTACTACCTCCGTCTCGGAGTATTCGTCCAGTTTTGACTTTTGGAACTGTTCATCTAAGCACTTTAACTCATCAAATTCTCTCAATGTGTAAGCCTAAATATAGTCATGTGTGATCTTGTTTGATTTGTCTTAACATATAGATTATTAATATATAATTTCTATAATTTTTTAATATACAGATTACAAGATAAAATGGATTAAAGAAGTGCATTGGATGGTGTGCCAAAAGGTAAGTGGACAAAGACAGTGGGACGGAGGGAGTATTATCTAAATAAAATAAAATAATTGTTTTAATGTCACAATTTATTTAAAAAAATTGTCTTGGATATACACTTATATCTCATTATCGAGTCACTTTAAATTACTAAAATATTAATTTAATTAATTTACAATTTCTTTGTGATTTTGAATTTTTGTTAACTATGTTTTTTTATATGTGTGTTTGTCAACGTTTTAAAATTTTGACCAAAATAATTGTGTACTTTACTTTTTTAAATAAGCATTACATTACTTTTAAATGTGCATACATTAATAATCTTTATAATGTACATGTTCTAAGCATATGAAAAAAAATGTTCATACATCAATTTAATACAAGAAGAAAAAATTGTATAAATCTCATATTCTTTATTTTTTAAATATGCATATGCCGGGTGTATATTAAAAAATATCAAAATGGAACAAGAGCAACAAGTTCAAATCATTATTGCTACATGTGCTTTACACAATTTCGTTCGTCTTTATCGAAATGGAGAAAATTACACTAGGACTTAGGCCCCGTTCCGTTCAACTTTTTTTTTCTTATTTTTTCTTATTCTTATTAAAATCAGATCAGATCAGATCAGACCAGATCAGATCAGATCGAATCAGATCAGATCAGATCAGATCCAATCAGATCAGATCAGATTCAATCAGATCAGATCAGATCAGGACTTATTAAAATCAGATCCCATCAAGAATTATTATTATTATTATTATTATTATTATTATTATCATTATCATTATTATTATCATCATCATCATCATCATCATTAGTATTATTATTGCTACTTGTAATTTGAGTTTCTAAACTTTTGATCTTTTATAAGGATGAGATATTTTAATAAAAATACTATCTCTTCTATATATTGATTATCAAAATTTAATTATTTTTTAATGTATATCTAAATTAAATATTTATTCTAATGTATAATTCTAATTTTACAAAAAAATAATCATAAAATAAAAATATTATTACATTATAATATGAATGATTATTCTA